CCTTAATACAATTAGGCCTCAAGTTATGGCAGCTATTGGGGGCAGAATTTCCATTGTTAAGCAAAGTAATTGTTAACTGAGTCAAGCCCAATTTCACTATTTTTTTGCCGTTATTGTTAACCAGATCACTGCAGTCGTTAAGTGAATCATGTGATCATTAAGCAAATCCAACTCACTTCATTGGCGTTGCATGTCAGAAGCGGGCTGAGAAGATTGGCAAAGGTGATCACATGACCTATCATGGCCTGCCAGCGGCTCTGACAGCAGATTCGGACAGTGAGGAGGTTGGGGAGGAACATGGGCCAGTCCTGGAGTCTGGGGAAGGCTCTGATGAGGGATCTGTGTCGGAGGCAGAGATGGGCCTGGGCCGTATGACAGTTATCAGCTGCCTTCAGAGTCAAACATTAGTGAGGCAGATGAACAGCTGGAGCCTGTTCCCAGTGTGTGAATGCCCAGAGTTGCCAGATGAAGGGAACAGCTAAGGATCAGGGGTTGACTTGAGAGTAAGGCCACAGGTGGAGGGTGAATGGCCCCTCCCAGAGGGAATAAAAGAGGAGCAAAAGGTGAGGGAAATTCGGATATTGGGCAAGTGGATCATATTTATGATTGCTGCAGTGTCCCAGAGTCATGGGATCCCCTTTTGTGATCTCTTAAGCAAAGTCAAAGGGGAAGCCAGATTCACTTAACAACCGGGTTACTAATTTACGACCTGCAGTGATTCAGTTAACAACCATGGCAAGAAAGGTCATAACACGCGGCAAAACTCACTTAACAAATATCTCACGCCGACAGAAATTTTGGGCTCAATAGTGGTCATACGCCGGGGACTTCCTATACTTCTTCAAGTGAAGACCAGCTGTCCAGCGCGCATGTGTGCAACGGGACCCAGAAGAGCAGCTGGCAATGGCGCATGTGCCCACAGAGAGGGCTAATACGGACTCTGTTCCTGAACTTTCAGCTTTTCTTTGTGTCAGAGTTTGTTTCAGAAAAATCAAATCCAGAAAGCACACAGAGATAACTGATTCAGTTGGATTCATTAACTTCTTTATATACATAATAACAGATGAATAAATGTACAATACCGAGAAGCAGGTTCTTCCAATGTGGTAGAAAAGGAGAGAGCAGTTACAAGCAAGCACAAAGCAGAGGAGAGCAGTTAGTTTCACTTCAGAGTTCAAAGCAGACAGGCCTGACAGACGGCTAGTTTACTTCACAGACCAGCAGACTGCTTTCTGCTTAAGTTTCTGTTTCAATTCTCTGCACCAACTCAGATCTATTTAAGCTTCCATTGGCTGACTTAGTTGCTATGCCTATTCATTGGGAGAGACATTGTTCCCATGTCTCTCCCACTCATAAATATTCTTTTTTTAAATTTAAATTCTTTTTTATTTATTATTTAAAACAAACACAATCCTTCTTTACATGCTGTAGAAAGTGTATCAGTTGGTTACAAAAAAACTTTCATGCATCTCTTCCACAGTCAACAAACATAATTCATATTAACTCAAGCATTTTAACTCAAATATTTAAAGATGTCACCATCATATCT